CCCTGTCTCTCTCTCTCTCACTGTCCACTCTGCCTGTCAAAAAAAAAAAAAAAAAAAAAAAGATTACATATTATATGATTCTATGTATATGAAATGTCCAGAAGAGGCCAATGCACAGAGAAGAAAGATTAGGGAATACCAATGACTGGTGAATTTAGAAGAAATGGAGACGGGCCGGTGCTGTGGTGTAGCAGGTAATGCTGCTGCTAGCAGCACCGGAATCCCATAGGGGCACCAGTTCATGCCTGGCTGCTCCATTTCCAATCCAGCTCCCTGTCACTGATCCTGGGAAAGCAGCAGAAGACAGTCCAAGTGCTTGGGCCACTGCACTTGTGTGGGAAACCCAGAAGAAGCTCCTGGCTCCTGACTGGCCCAGCTCCAACAGTTGCGGCCATTTGGGGAGTGGGGAATGAACGAACGGAAAGAAGACACCTCTTTCTCTCTGCCTTTCAAATAAACAAATCTTAAAAAAAAAATTTGATACAAGTAGTGAGCCAATTCAAAATGACACAGAAGTCAGCTTGCAGGAGCTAAATCTGAAACAATCTGGGCACAGAAACACACAATAACAATAAGTACTATTTATCCAAAAGAATAAGAATTTTTTAGTCAATATAATAGTTACAAATAAATAAATAAATGGGGCCGGCGCCGCGGCTCACTAGGCTAATCCTCCGCCTTGCAGTGCTGGCACACTGGGTTCTCTAGTCCCGGTCGGGGCGCCAGATTCTGTCCCGGTTGCCCCTCTTCCAGGCCAGCTCTCTGCTGTGGCCAGGGAGTGCAGTGGAGGATGGCCCAAGTACTTGGGTCCTGCACCCCATGGGAGACCAGGAGAAGCACCTGGCTCCTGCCTTCGGATCAGCGCGGTGCGCAGGCCGCAGCGCACCAGCCGTGGCGGCCATTGGAGGGTGAACCAACGGCAAAGGAAGACCTTTCTCTCTGTCTCTCTCTCTCTCACTGTCCACTCTGCCTGTCAAAAAAATAAAATAAAATAATAAAAAAAAATAAATGGGAAAAGGGGAACACTCTTCCATACAACAAAATGTCAGCAAATAAATGCAAAAGAAATAATGGTATTATAAAATTACCATTCTGTAACTATCATAGTAATAACTAATTCAGGGGAAAATCGGCAATAGATGCCAAAACTAATGGATGAAGTTTGTAGGAGGAACAGGATATTAATATAAGTGAGTTTGTTTGATAGCACAAATTACTTACAACAAAAAGAAACAACAACTTTATACTGAAAAAAATAAACCACCTCACCTAAGTGATCAAAGCAACCATTCACCACCTCTCATACGAACTGCTATCACGTGCCTCCTGATAAAACATCTTGAGGACACAACATTACTATCAAAGTCTATAAAAATGTGAAACCCAGATTGAGACATTTTAAAACATAAAATGGTCTATATATTTTAAATATATCAAGTTCAGGAAGACAAAGAAAGGCCTAGGAATTGGTCCATATCAAAGATGACTCAGAAAGTATAACTAAATACAATATACTAGAGTTCACAGATGTATTGGGGGATGGGGGCCAGATTTACAAAAGGATACAGAATTTGAATATGGACTGTAGATTAAATAATAATAATAATAATACTGTGTCAATGTTAAATTTGATTTTGAAAATTGTACTATGATTTTTTTAAAAAAATTGAGAGACTGATCTTCCATCCACTGGTTCTCTCCCCAAATGGCCACAACAGCCAGAGCTAAGCCAGGAGCCAGGAGCTTCTTCCACATGTCCCATGAAGGTGCAGGTACCCAAGGACTTGGGCCATCTTCACTGCTTTCCAAGGCACATCAGCAGGGAACTGAATTGGAAGTGGAGAGCCAGGACACGAACCAACATGCATATGGGATGCTGGGGTTGCAGGCGTCAATTTTATCCATTATGCCATCACGCTGGCCCCAAAAATTATACTATGGTCTTACAAGTCAAGTTGTTCCCATAAAAGAACCACAGTGCGGCCGGCACCGTGGTTCAATAGGCTAATCCTCCACCTAGCGGCGCCAGCACACCGGGTTCTAGTCCCGGTCGGAGCGCCGGGTTCTGTCCCGGTTGCCCCTCTTCCAGGCCAGCTCTCTGCTGTAGTCCAGAAGTGCAGTGGAGGATGGCCCAAGTGCTTGGGCCCTGTACCCGCATGGGAGACCAGGAGAAGCACCTGGCTCCTGCCTTCAGATCAGCACGGTGCGCCGGCCGCAGCGCGCCAGCAGTGGCAGCCATTGGAGGGTGTTTCAACGGCAAAAGGAAAACCTTTCTCTCTGTCTCTCTTTCTCACTATCTACTCTGCCTGTCAAAAAAAAAAAAAAAAGGAACCACAGTGCAATTTCAAAATAATTCATCTTAGGGGTAATAAACACAGTATTCAATGGTAAATAAGCATAATGGCGGCAATTACTTTCAAATGGTTTCAAGGAAAAAAACGTGTTTAAGCATGTACGTGTGTGTGTGTAGGCAGAGTAAGAAAAAAAACAATAAATGAGATAAAAGCTTAATACTCGCTGGATCTTGGTAAAGAGCTTAAGGGAGTCTCTGAGCTATGGGAGTACTTCTCATTTGAAATGCTATCAAAATAAAATCATAAGACATTTAAGAATAGGGATTAATATTGATAATTTATCAGACTTATTTAACAGAATACCACTCTAAATATATTTGACACAAAATAAACAACCACATTTTACAAGGTTTACTATTCATTTGTTTATCCTAAATGATAAAATCATTCTTTAAGAACCATTAGCACTTTTTAACTAAGTTAAATTTGAGTACTCGACTTTTTCCATGATGCAAAGCTAAATAAATTTTCTTTACTGATTGAATGGCAGATCTTCTTAAAACTGATTTCTATAATTAATGATAAAACTGCAGTTTCATTTAATCCCACTGTCAAATTCTTTCTCCTACATTTAAAGCTCATCCATTTAAAGAAGGAATACTCGCTGAAATTCAATTAGCCAACAAATGGAACTACACTGAAGCCTATGGTAACATAAGAACCCAGCTACCTGTAAGCCATGAAGCAGAATATCCTCCAGATCGAGGTCTATTTGCCTTAAAAAAGGATTTCCTTTGGCAACATCACAATAGCGCTTTTCATTTTCAGATGACAGGTTTTCCAGAGCTTTATCTACGTACTTCATAAAATATTTTATGTGTGTGTATCTTTTACATAAACTTTGTTTCCAAACTCCCAGAGAGCTGTTTCCCTTTACAAAACAGTCACTCTCCTCCGCCAACTTCATTTTTCCCTAAAACAGACACTTTAAAATTGGCTACAATATATGCAGTGTAATTCTCGTTGATTTTCCCTACATATATAATTAATGTTTTGATAGCTCCATATGGCCTGATACTTTGTAAATCTGTCTTCAGGTTTTCCAAGTTTTTTTAAACTAAAAAAACTAGAGCACAGCATTGAGCCCAATCTTTCACTCCCACTGCAAGATTTTACTGCAGTGCCCCTATATCTATCACCAGGGTCCCCTCGAAGAAAATTTGTCTTAGGAGCTTCAAACATAAGTGAAAGATAATCAAGAGCAAAATTCTGAAACATTCTTAGGGGAAATTTTTTAAAAAGCAAATCTCAGAAATGCGTGCATCTTAACAACCAAAAAGAATTAAATATTTAAGATATACAAGTAGTTATTAGGAAAGAGATGATAAAAGAAAGTGATTTACCTTACTATGAGCCTCAACCCCATAGAAGCAATTCACTGTGACTAAGGAATCCACAAACTCACTTTCCTCTAAACATCCTTTCACAGTAACTTTTCTACCACATGTACACAGTAACTTGAAAAAAGAAGAAAAAAAAACCCACTGCTATCATTTTAAATCCCCAATTCTACCAGCCACAACCAGCTAAGTGCTATGCATAAATGTAGCACTTCTTGGTTCTAAGGATGAGTCTCATCCTAAATCTTTGATATGGCTCAGTACGTTCTGTTTGTTCATTATTTCTCTCCCAAATAGATTCTGCTGGCTTACAAAAGAAGGACTTTTTAAACATACCCAAAAGAGGTTAATTTTCTATACCATACAGCAGTATATTCATTCAAGAAAGAACAGCATAAAACAGCTAGCTAGATTCTATGATAAACTATTTCATTCAGAGGCTATTAAGAAATCAATAAATAGTTAACTATTGCCTGAGAGTTTTAAATGTATTATTTCCCTTAATTCACACAACAATCCATATTATCATTTTACATTTGGAAAAAAATCATATTCAAAGAGGTTAATCTGCCTAAAAGCAGGTAAGGCTTGAACTCAGGTGTGTCTGACTTACTTACATTTATGATGAGTGGGTAGCTACTGCATATGATTACTTTCAACCTATTAATAGGCAACAATGTTCTAGAATAGTAAATCATAAAGTTTAAGGAACTACTTTCTAAAATACAAATTTCTCCTTTTATTACCTGATTTAAAAAAAGTAAATATATGTGTCTATAATAAACCCACTTACACTTATTTTGTACTACTAATAAATAATATCCTAAAAATAAAATTTCTAGCTCTTTATATTGATAAAGGCCTTTCAAGAACAAATATATTGTTAATTTATTATCTACATTTGAACAGTATCACCATCCATAAAGATTACATTAAAGCACTCCAAATTAGCTTTAAGAAAAGCCAACTTAAAAAAAAACTAACATAATTACAAATCTAAGGAGAAAACTTAAGTTTCTTAATAAAAAGACAGTTTCTACCTTTTTCCTTTTCCTTCCCAAGGAATACCGCTATTCCTAAATTAGCAACTGCCCATTGTCTACCAAAATGTTTCTACAAAGTACTGAGTGGAGTTTAAAATCTTCTAATTAGTCCACTGCACTGTGGCACTCTTTCTTTAAAGGAAAAGATAGAAACTCTTTCTTTCAGCAATATGCTCTAGAAAACCTGCAGACATAAATGACTTTGTGTCATAATTAAATTGTCTATTAAAATTACCACAAATATTGAGTTGTTAAAAGGATATAATTTGGAGGAAGAAAGTTCCAGCTCAAGACTTGATTGGCGAGCGCAAGGTAACGCTGAAATACGGAGGACATCTGCGCATTGAGGTTTTCCCGCCTGCTGAATTCCTGTAGAACTTCAACAGTTAACATGAAGATCTGACGAAGGTCTTCTTCCTACAGTCATTAAATCACAAATATCTTTGTATTGAAAACTTATTCAAAACGCATTTCCTTTTAGAACCATAAAACAAAACAAACAAAAACCTTAAAATTTCCAGTGGAAATTCCTATTTCCTTAAGAATATTTTCCATTTTTAGGTCTTTACTCGTCATTTACATCACAGTGTGCTTTCAAGTGACACCAGTTTGAATACATTTACTGTAATATAAATGCTACTCCATAGAGAAACAAGTCTTTGACAACTACTGCAGAGCTGGAGGAGTCAGTTGCTATAGTGCAGAGCCCTAGGATTTAAGCCAATGCCTTCACATAACTCTACTCCAGAGCCAAACAATACATACGAGACAAAGAGCCCACACCATCTGCAATAACATTTTAAATACGTGGCCCTCTTTGGCATTTTGCCAGTCCTATTTTTAAGGCCAGCAGAGTCCCTTCAGATGAATTAGTTATATCCAAAGAAAGTAAGAAATAAATACTAGAGACTTTTATAGTAGTCTCTTTGTTTAAAGACTTGAACCGAACAAGTAATTTTAAACTGTCAACTGCATTCACAAAACCAATGGCTTTACTAGATCCTATGAAATCACAACACAAATCCTCAAATACAGGTTATCATTCATCTACATAAAATAAATGTTCTCATCCCAGTAGAAATACATTTATTAAATAGATAATGACCTAGTATCCAAACACAAGAACAAAAATACCAATACCTGAAAAATTCTTTTGCAGTTACCATGGAATTCCATACTCAGTCCAATGTTGCTAGTTTTACTTGAACTTGAGAATTCACTTAATAATGCAGTTAGAATAGAACAGGCCAGAGTTTGCTGTAATTATTTAATAAGAGATAATTATAAGGCATTTTTTTCAATGCTTATTTTAACACAATATTTGTTCAAACACAATAGGACACTTTCTGTCTTTTAGGCTTTCCACTGTATCTTTAGATACTCTATCTGCTCGTCAGAAAATGAGATGCAACAAATTAGCTCCCTTTCTAAGTCACCTGGAGGGTGTAAATAGTACTTTCTTAATTGCAGTAGTGCAAATACATCTAAGACTTGAACTCAGAACTACTCAATCACAGAATTTAAATGGTATTTAAAGTAAACAAGGTTGGATGCAGTACTTCATTTACTCCATACAACAATTCATATTTCCCATTTTACATCTGAAAGAACTGGGACTGGGAAAGGACAAGTAATTACTTAAAGCCAGTCAGTCTGACTCCATGTTTTGCTGTTTGTATGAAAAGTAAATGGATTTTTACAGTCTCCAAAATATTAACCAGGTAGTACCTTCAAATTTTTTAAATAAAAAATTTTTTAAATAAAAACTTAAGATTTTCCTTCTCACTGGTTCTATGTAACATACTCCTAGTATCAACTCACTGATTTTATTCATAGACTATTTAGAGTCAAGGTACCAGGGATGGATAAGAGATACCAATTATTTTGGCATGTTTCCAGGGGTTAAACAGAAATATGCACACTACCTCTGAACAACCGAAAGATTAAAGTCAAGATGATACTATTTATGCAAGCTTATACAACAGCTGAACACAGTCATACCCACCCACCAACTGCAACATCTTTGTTCAGAAATGCTTCTGATGTCAGTACCTTGACCTTACAGATGCTTATCTTGGCAAATCTTAGCAAATATACATAAAATTAAATTCCTACAGATTGCACAAGTTGATATTTATCAAAAGTGAGTGTTGTACATGGTTGAACAATGTACTATTTATCTATTGTCTATGTCTGAAATTTTCTGAAAATAAAATCCCTATTGGCCTCTTAATCTCAACTAAAGTAAGCATGACTGTATCATTAATATTTATGGAAGGCACACTACCTCATTCTTACAAAAGCAGTTTCCCAGACTTTTCCATACCAGGAAGTAAATGAAAAATTCCCAGGCAAACCAGGGATACGAATGGTGCTTCTACAATGATAAAAGTCCTCTAAATGCGTCTGATTTAGCTCAAACACACACAGTAAATTTACTGCAAACTACACATTTGTGATAAGAAAAAAATGAACCCTCCTCCCCAAATTTTCAAGAAAAGAGTGTCTATTTAACTGCCTTAGCATGGCGCTAGGCACACAGAGAGAAAAATGGAGTCTGAGAAATCAGGCACTATGACCTCTTACAGAGAAGAGTTCATCACATAATCATGTCATTTTATAGTTAAATGGATCTTAGAAACTCATCAAGCATCATCCTGTCACTTTTCAGTTAACAAAAACTGTGATTTTAAAAAATTGCTTTCTGTTAAAATGGTGACTAATGATTAAAGTACCCACCATCAACAGTTCACAGACACATTTAAGTAACAATGGAATCAACCATGAACATGATTTTTAAATATGGATAGACTGGAGTGAACCAGCAGGTGGAAGATCTCAATCTCAATTTTTTTTCCCCTCTGCCTCAACCTTCTCCCTCTCTGTAATTCTGCCTTTCAAATAAATAAATTAATCTTTACAAAATAATATGGCTAGACTTCAGTGGGAAGAGTAGGTATCAAATCAAATTAATGAAATTCAGAAAAAAAAATCAATTCACGATGATCTAAGGAAATGAATTCCAAGATCCACTGATTCTGAAAATAATTTTTAGTATGTGTAATTTTTTTTAAAGTCTTGGCCTTAGCTTATTCTTTTCTAAGACGTTAGTGAAAGGAACATTATGAATAGATATCTGTTTAAGAAAATTTGTCTTACTAAAAAAAGTTAATCTCAGATGAAATAATCTACGAAAAGAATTCATGCACAACTTATACAAAACCATTCAAGCTACAAAGAACCCAGAAGCACTCACTAAACACAAACTCTTATCATTCTTACAAATAAAGAATCCATACTAATTTCCTTAAATTACACTTGCCACAGTGTTTTTTTATCCCACAAAATAGCATATTTTTAACTCTGACCACATTCAGATTTTTAATAACAAATCTCTAAAGATTAAAGCAGCTTGTTCTCACAGTAAAGCTTTACTTTGTGTGAAATAAAACATTTCCTAAGATTATGTCCATGGCTTATGGTCAAGATGTCAGAAAAATGAATGGAGGAAAGGGGCAGGGCAGACGTGTGCGGGCCTGGCAGAGTTTGCTGCTGAGAACAGGGGAGGAATGTAAGTCTCCTTAACCACAAACTTCATCAGATAGACGTGGAGTTCCCAGTGATGTGGAATCAGTTGTAGCAATAAATAAAATCCACCCATAAAAGTGAATAAAAGACTTCATATACGAGAATTAGGAACAAAAGATATTACTACAAGAATCATTTGCTTTTAAATAACTTTTCTATCCTATAAAAAAAATTATGTGACTTCACATTAGAAAAATTATAAAGTATGGAAAAGAACAAAGAAACTAAAACTCCCTACAATCCCACCATCAAGGAACTGCTACTATAACAATTATTTAGAGCATTCCAATTTTTTAATGGATAGATATACATAATTTATATACCACTGTAATCAACCTATATGTTTTATTTTCTATCTATACTTAGAAAGAGAAATCTTTGAAAACAAGTACTTTCTAGTCAAATATAGCACCTGAAAGACTTAAGACATACATAAGAATAAACTCTTATGCAGCATGGCTAGAGGTATTACCTGTAATCAAATATTCTGGTTTTAACCATACCTAAAATGTTCAGCTTTCAAATAACTAAATTTCAATAAGATTGTCACTATTAAAAGATACCAAGTAGTTTAAATCTCTCCTTAACGTGGGAGTCCTGTAAGTATGAGATTAACATGATAAAATATTAATTGTACTATACTAGTCTGGCTCAAAGGTGCCAAATGAATAGATTTACTCATCAGAGAATGATGCATAATTAAATACTGGTTATACATTAAGAGAGCCAAGTACTTCCACATATCAACAGGGGAATTAAATATATCACAAAATGTCTGAGACTCATTTCCAAATAAGTTTACTCATTTTTCAGTATTTAATTACCAATTAAATCCCCTTCAAGCGAAGTTATGCTCACACCATGTTGTAATGAAGATAGCTAGGGAAGCAAGCCAAAAAATGAGCTCCCAAGGGAGCAAAGAGGACAGCTCCTTCCCAGGACAGATTTCAAACTGTAGTCTTTCTCATCCTATCCACTTGCCTCGAATTCTCAGTGGTCATTCCAAGAGCATTACCTCTAACCTGCCTTCCACTGCACCTTCAAGTGCTGCCTTTCTGCCCTTTGTCAGAGTGAGGGCTGCAAGTTTCTCGGTCTTACAGACAGCGACTCCGATGCCTACGGTAGCCAGAAACAAAAGCTGCTGGAAATAATGTTGATGAAATCAGATCAAAGTTGATCGAATGATTAACAAGAAATATGGATTGTCATACTAATGTTAACAGGGACTTGACTGGTAAACAATATCATCAGTACAAATCTTAGATTTCTTAAGATATTAACACAATTCTTCACTAACCCCAGATCATAAAGAATTGTTAGTATCTAATTCTAAGTGCAGCAAGTAAACATTTTAATGAAACAATTCCTACAAATCTTTCAGAAAAATTATTCCTATACAATTATTAAATGATATAGCAAAACTACTACTTAGATGTGACAAACATATTAAAGGGTCTTGAGCTCTGACAAAGTGGCACCAGATCCCAAGGCTCTTTGATTTATGTCTGCTTCATGGCTTTTCTCAACAACCCTTGGTTGTCTCTCACAACTGGCAACCTGACTACACCAACAGGTAGTTCTAGATGGATCCTTTTCATTTGTCAACAAGTCAAAAATCAAGTAACAAAAGTTGTTAAAACTATATCTAAAATAAGTTACCAATAAAAACACATGTCAGGACTCTTTCAGGAGTTCAGTACAAAAATCCTACTGATTTGCACTGAGGAATCAGAATAGGCTGTGATAGCCTAAGGTTTCTGGTGACTGAAGTCCTTCATTTATCTGGGGCCTCAGATTTCTCATCTATAAAAAGGGCTAGTGCCCTCTGCCCTGCCTAATTCGCATGGCTGTCCTAAAGTTAAAATTAAATAATGCTTGTATAAGTACTGTGTAAATGTAGTAGGTTAGGATAAGATTAAGTAAAGTGGCAACAGTATTTTTATTGTCCTCATCATAAAAAAAGTTACCATTTGTTTTGGCTTTTTGGTCCTAGTTTTTCTATTGTTACATACAATCCACCAAATTAAAATTGTATCACTTTTAAAATGAGCCATAACTAAAGCATCATTAAAACAATATAGTAGATGTTCAGTAATCATTGCCTGGATTAATGAATGGACGTTTACTTCTGTGACCAACATCATGTTAACATAATGGACGGTGACAAATAAATACATTATGTGTCCTCTACTTTTTTTTAATATTTCCAAATTTCGAAAAGAAAATTTAAGTTTATAAAACAAGTAGAAGACGATGCAAATGAGATCTCAAATTATGAAAAATTCTAATGTATCTTCTTTCCCTGAAGTACTGAAAATTCACAAGTTAACTAACAATTTAAGTAACTCTTGTTTTCACATTAAAAGTCTTACAGCAGCATTCTCATTTCTAGCAAAAGCCATTAATTCCATGCCCTTCAGAGATAGCTTGCCTTACTCACCAGCTTACTGTCACAAGCATAAGATACTCAAACACTAACTCCAGCTGACAAAATAAAATGCTCTTGTTCAGAGAGAGGATTGTCTCTTATAATAGCCTGGCTCTTCCCCCAGGAGCTTTATTACCAAGAATAAACTTTATGAAAGGTTGCCATACATAAAGCAGACTTCCAGCTGTTCTTCTAAGCAAACATCAATGAGACTTGTGATAAGAGAGATTAACTTGGCTATCACATCCAGGGGCAGCACTGCTGCAGACAAGTGAATTTCTCACCCACTTCTCTCTAGCAGGCGAAGAGGAAGAAAGGAGGCTTAAATGCTAAATTAAACAGCTTTAAAAGTGATTTAATGTATGCCTATCAGTTTTAAAGGAAATAAGACAAACGCGAAATAGATTAAATTTTAGCTTAAATGTTAGCTTAAAATAAAAAATTGTGTTATTTTTCTAGGAAGGAAAGTTTCCGTACCCCTGTTAAATTAATATTGACAGCAGGTTTGACACTATCATAAATGAGACAAAGTAACCACAGTAACCTTCATAATTATGGAAGGCAAACAGTCTGCCCACAAAGACAGGCATGAAATAACATGTTATTGAACAATCGCATAAGCCCAACTACATTAAGACTACATAGTGATGGAAAACTGTTTAGTGTCTTAGAAATATCATCCCCCTCAGAAAATATTTGTGAATTAAATCTAATCTTTTCACAAAACTATCTGTAAAGAACCAAGACTATAAGATACTTCTTAAAGCATTTAGAGGAAAGTTAATCCATTGGCTAAGTTTTTTATAAACACAGAAATAATTACTTTTATTTATGGATAATAGCATAAATACTTTCTTCTGCTTTTCAACACTTAAAATATTACTTAATAGAAAAAGAGATGACTTACTAGTTTACTTCCCAAGATTCTATAAAGAAATGGATAAGGAGCTAAGAGGGAGATAGGGTAAACAACTGCTGATGAGCAGCACGTGAAATGAGTGTTAGTAGACTTGTTCACGTATTAGTGCGTAGATGCCTACAGAAGTTAAACGATTAGGTCAGTAAGTAAGTGGTAGAACTGGGATTTAAATCTGAGTGTGAATTCAAAGTCAGTGCTGCAGCATAATACCTGCATAAACAGGTATGTTCAACCAAAAATCAAGACTCTTCAAAGGGAAGGAGGGAAGACAGCCTACAGTGAAGGCTGATGGAAGCAGTGTTAACAGAACAGTCACCTAACCTGATCGATCATGAGGCCAATCCTTTACTCATCTATACAAAACCAACAGTTAATTATCTCTCCTTTTCAAATATTTCTTAAAATCACCTTTAAAATTAAGTTTCTAGCCAACACTAGATCAACGTTTGATCACTTTATCATTCTACTTCCTCATTGAGGTTTTAATCCTCTCCACTGCTACTCATGTCTCTGAGACTAAGAAAATCTCAAGGAAATTCTTGAACCACTCCCACAAATTCTAAGCAGTCATTCAAGACAAAAGAAAAATAGAGAAGAAGCTGAATTAAAATGTTTTAATGGTCTACATTCTCACACTGTTTTACAGCAGCCCAAAGAGACAGTTTTAAGCTGCTGAGCAAAGTCAAACGTGTGTACACATCTCATCTGCCACATAAATGCAGGGAACATTTCTGAAGTCTACGTTTCCTACATGGCCACCAAAATAATTTCATCCTGTAGTTGAAATTAAATTCTACTTCCACTAGTAGTTTTCTATTACTATAGAAGTTCTTAGCCGCACTACCAGTTTAAGAAATTCTTTATTTTATGAGAATATCCTCAAACTGTATATACTATAAATAGAGTAAAAATTTCTAACTAAATAGCTACATCTGTTCCAGTCATATCAGAACATCAGTTATTTCAGTGGTTCAAAAAAATCCAATTGCCAGTGAGGCCACTTTTTGTGTTAGCTCAGATTATCCAAGGGGAAAGAAAGCAGAGAACTCAATTCCTGAGTATGTGCTCATTCCTGAGAGAGGCAAGGGACGCTTTATCCTTTGCCTGTGGTGTCCAGTGCCAAGAAGCTACTTGTGGGGGATGAGGGCAGGCCACAGAAATTCCACCTCAACACTGAAATCCTAGCTGGAATGATCACCAAACTAACACAGGAAAGCCATTAGTCATAGATAGACAGACCTCAGAGCTACTAGTAAGTTCCTGAAGTTTAAATCCTCTTATATCGCAGGGTTGTCAAAATGAAACAAGGCGTCCTTAAGCAAAATCTAAAATATGAAGAAAACTTGATTCAGTTCATAAGAGGCCAGTATAGTATTTCCAGGGAGCAGTTTCAGATCCAAGTCTTTCCCCTGCTAGTCTGAGCTATTTGGATCTACCACTTCTTTTTCCCTAGGCCATCCACAGTGGCCACCATTGGACTGTGCAGCACATGACTGCTAGTTTGGAAGGAAATACAGTTGTCTCTCAGTATCAGCAAGGGACAGGTTCCAGGATCCCACAGGATACCAAAATCCTGACATGCTCAAGTCTCTTCTAAAAATTGGTATAATATTTATGAACACCTCATGCACATATTCTCACAGACTTCAAATCATATCTAGATCATTTATATTAGCCAATACAATGTATATACTATGCAAATAGTTGCTATACTGTGTTAATTAAAAACTAAAACAAGGAAAACAAGTCTGGAGCCAGCGCTGTGGTGTGAGTTAAGCCACAGCCTGTGATGCTGACACCACATGAGTACAAGTTACAGTCTCCACTACTCCACTTACAATCCAACCTGGGAGAGCAGTATAAAATGGCCCATGTATTTGGGCCTCTGTCTTCCATGTGGGAGACCTGGTTGAATTTCTGGCTCCTGCCTTTGGCCTGGCCCAGCCCTGACTGTTGTTGTTATTTTGGAGTGAGCCACAAGATGGAAGCTCTTCTTTCTGTCTCTTCCTCTCTCTCTCACCCTGTCTTTCAAATAAATATAGCTTCATATAGATGATCCTTCAAATGACCAAGGAGGAAAAAAACTGTGAAAGTGAAAAAACTCAAAACAGTTAAAAAATTTAATGTCCCAGAATCAGAATGACCAGGTATTATGAATTCCAATATTATGTGAATTAAATGTCATTTGGCTCATTAACAACAAATGTGTAAACAGGGAACACAGCTGATCAGCAGCAACATCACCTACAGGTCCCCCGACCTGGACAGAGTGATTACAGCCAAAACCACTTTCCAGTTCTACCCTAGCTCTCCAAAGAATGGAAAGGAGAGTGGAGGAGGAAAATCATGCTCCCCAAAGTAATTCAGTCCAGAACAACGGCCTCAGACCTGTGCACTTGACAGCACCATTTGGAAATCAAGACTATACCTTGGCCTATTAGTATAGCAACATGTGCTGATTTCTGATTATGTCAGACACCATTTTATGTTTTATTTGAACATTTCCATAATCTAGGAGTTGTCAAAAGCTTATTAAAATGGAGGGAAGCATTCAAAAGAAATAGTAAAGAATATCACAATATATTAGCTTATAATATTTACAACCATTAAAATGATGAATCAAACGAAACTGCCCTTTCATATCGATTTTATGCACATACATGAAAAAGAACGCCAACAAATGAAAGTTGCTTGATTTATTAGCTTGTGTACTTTTGCTTTTATAAAGACATCTACTACTATTGCTATGATATTTTTGTAATAGAAAATAAAAATACTTAATATTTATAAATATAATAAGCACACTTACCACAGTGGGATTGCCACTACTTATTAACTGGCTGACTTCATGAAAAATGCTTTTGCAGTCAATTGACTTATCTAATGAGCCTCGTTTTACAATTACTGCTACTGCTAATAGAATCTGTTCCCGAACATACTTTTGCAGGCTGTAAAACATAAAAATCATTGTGAAAAAGTTTACTTAAATGTAATATAAAAATATCCCCCCAAATTTCTCACCATGTCTGAAGCTATTAACAACACTGCTTGCATTTGAAATTAATATAATCTATACACAGACTCCAAAGCTGGAAGACCTGGTTTGTAATCAGGCCAAGACAACACTTAAAACCTCTATTTTCTAATCAGCAAAATGGAGATAACACTAACAGAGATATTAAAGGGATTAAATTTCCCAGAACGATGCCTAGTACACACTAAGAACTATGTAAGTATTAGCTGTTTCAGGCAATGTTCAAACAGACATACACCAGTTTCCTGTAAAAAATTTTGGAGAAAAATCATTAAGTTTCTCTAATTTGAAGACAAATTTTGATCTAGCATCCATCTTCAACAAATAGTATAATCCTAAATCCCATTTCTCCTTAACTTGAAAAAGCAACATGCTACCTATCTAAGATACAACTTTACAGAAACATAAAAATTCTAAAGAAATACTTACTAAACCTTCCTATTGAGGTTCTGTTTCTCAATGCAAATGCCAGGAACACTGATCCCAAATAGAGGCACTGAGGCTTTTCACAAAGGCTGTTCAACCACAACAGCACACAAACACTTGACTGCCTTTTCACAAACTTTGTTTAAGGGAAGGCTCAGGGGCTGGTGTTGTGGTGTAGCAGGTAAAGCCACTGCCTGCCATGCTGTCATCCCATATAGCTGCTTGCTGGAGTTCTGGTTGCTCCATTTCTGATCCAGCTCCCTGCTAAGTACCTGGGAAAGCAGCAAAGGATGACTCAAGTGTTTGGGCCTCTGCACCCATGTGGGAGACCTGGATGAAGCTCCTGACTCCTGGCTTCAGCCTGGCCCTGCCCTGGCCCGGCCATTGTGGCCATTTGGGGAGTGAACCAACTGATGAAAGATCTCTCTCTGCCTCTGCCTCTCTGTAACTCTGTCTTTCAAATAAATAAATAAATCTTCCAAAGGGAGGAGGGAGGGACTAAAAAAAAAAAAAAAGATGGGCTTCGGGCCAGCATTGTCAGGTAGTGGGTTAAGCTGCCACCTGTGATGCTAGCATCCTATGTAAGCATCAGTTCGAGTTCTGGCTGCTCCACTTCCAATCCAGCTCCCTGCTAATGCCAAGTAAGAAAGCTGCAGAGGTCAGACCAAGTATTTGGGCCCTGGCTTCTACATGGGAGACCCTGAGGAAGCTCCTGGCTCCTATCTTTGGTCTGGCCTAGCCCTGGTTGTTGCACCAATTGGAGAGCAAACCAGCAAATGGAATCTCTCTATATCTCTCCCCCTCTCTCTAACTCTGCCTTTCAATAAATAAAATAAATCTTAAAAAAACAAACAAGCAAACAAACAAAACAGATCTGGGTTTAGATAATCCAGCCTCTAGAATACCACAAAGACACAAACATCTTGGGTCCTTGAGATAAACCCAAACCCCTTAGCATGGCTCATAAAAGCAGTGAGGCACATCTTAGGTTTCCTGAGAATGCCTCAATTTACCCGTTGTCCAATCTATTAATTTAGAAAGAAAACCTTTTGAGAGGCAGAAATATAGGGGCAGGGAAGGAAAGCACTTCCCAAATGCCTGCCAGTGGTCAGATGGAAGCTGAAGGCCAGAAACTTAATACAGGTCTCCCACACAGGTGGCAGGAACTCAATTACTTGAGCCATAACCGCTACCTCTCAGCATCTGCATTAGCAAGAAGCTGAAATCAGGTGCTAGAGCTGGGAATTACACCCAGCTACTCCTGAGACATGGATGTCTCAACTGCCAAGCTAAATACCTACCCCGATCTAATTATTAACAGTGCTTTCTGTCACTCTTAATGACCTTACCCCTTTCACATACAGTCCAAACTATAGTTATAGTTAACTTTTAGATCCTGTCTATGATCTTGCACTTCCAGGCCGCTGAATTTCTATTCCCTCTGCCAAGACAGTGATGTCACCTTATCTGGAGGTTACTGATAAAGGCTCCCACAGCACCCCCATGACATGATGCATCTTTTACTACTGTTTATCTCCCAGATCAGCCACTCCCTCTAAGCACACTGTCGGTGACATATTGGGCATTTATCACACATTAACATAAATGAATGAATATGGCTCCCTATGTCCCTATGTCCCTGTATCATGAGAGCTCAAGTGGTTGGATTCCTGCAACCAACATGAGACACCTGGACTGAGTTCCTTTTTCCTGGATTCAGCCCAGTCCAGTCTCAATCATTGTGAGCATCTGGGGAACAAAGCAGTGGATGGAAGCCCCTACCTCTGTGTTTCTATGTCTCTCAAGCAAAAGAAAGAAAGAAAGAGAGAAAGAGAGAGAAAGAGAGAGAAAGAGAGAGAGAGAGAGAGAGAAAGAGAGAGAGAAAGAGAGAGAAAGAGAGAGAGAGAGAGAGAGAGAGAGAAAGAGAGAGAAAGAGAGAGAAAGAGAGAGAGAGAAAGAGAGAGAGAGAAAGAGAGAGAGAGAAAGAGTTAAATAAAGGTACTAGGCATTTAACTCTACACAAATCTCTCTACCTGAGAGGGGAAAAAACAGAAAAAAACTGGGTACACATAATGAGAGGTAATATATTAATGTAGTAGTCTACAGTATATAACCTATAATTCTACCTATGCAATAGGCCAAAGATGTTTAATTTCACTCTAATCCACACTGCAGGGCATTCTACTATATCAAAAATATCTATATTATGGATAAATAAAAGGAAACCGCTACTCTAGGTTAAAATAGATTAAAGAGGTATGAAAACTAAATACAGAGTATAATCTGCAAATAAACCCTAGATTAAAAACATAATTATGGGAGGAGAGTTTTGCCTAGAGCTGAAGATGCCTATGTCACAGGGCCAGCATTGTAGCATAGAGGGTTAAGCCACCACCTGAGATACATCCCATATGGGTACCGGTTTGGGTCCCAGCTGCTTCACTTCTGATCCAGCTGCCTCACTTCTGATCCAGCTGCCTGATAATACACCCAGGAAAGTGGTGGAAGACGACCCAGGTCTTTGGGCCCTGCAACCCATGTGAGAGAGCCAGTTGGAGTTCAGCGCTCCTGGCTTCGTCCTGGCCCAGCCCTGGCCATTACAGTCATTTGGGGAGTGAACCAGTAGATGGAAGTCTCTCTGTCTCTCTAATTCTTTCAAATAAACTAAAAAAAAAAAAAGCAATGCCTGTGTCCCACTTCAAAGTTCCCAGGGTCAATTTCTGGCTCTCGCTCCAAGCTCCAGCTTCCTGCCAATGCAGACGTAAATGGCAGTGGTCTGACAACCCCATGTGAAACCTTGATTGGGTTCCGAAGGCTAGCTCCCAGTTGCAGGCATTTGGGAAGTGACTAGCAGATGGGAGCTCTTTTTTGTCTCTGTTTCTATTTAATAAATAATTTTTTAAAAAAGTAAAATACAGAGGCTAGTGTTGTGGTGTGGCAAGTTAAGCCACCATCTACAATCCCATATTGGAGCCATGGTTCAAGTCCTGGATGCTCTATTTCCAATCTTTCTAATGTGTCTGGAAGGTAGCAGAAGGCGACCAAAGTACTTGGGTCCTGCCACCCACGTGGGAGAATGCTATGGAATTCTGAGTTTCTGGATTCAGCCTAGACCAGCTCAGCTGTTGTGGCCATTTGGGGAGTGAATCAATGGATGGAAGATCTCTCTCTTTTCCTTTCTCTCTCCCTGTCTCTTCCTGTCTGTCTGCCTTTCAAATAAATAAATAAAATTTTTAAAAAGTAAAATAAGAAAGCCAATCAGCTATTGTTCCTAAATATATAAGGCAAATATTATCTCTAAAGGGATAGATACACTAGAGAAAAATAGCCTATAAAGGCAGAAAAGGATATAAATAATATTAACCTGACAACCAGGGAACTCAAAATAAGAAATCAGAATGATATAAATATATTAATGATATTAATAGTTTGGAGGTTATGGTCTTGGAAAGACATGCTCACATACATAAAGAGGAAGTATCATGTCTGATGCATACTCTCAAATGGAGGGAAAAATGCACATATATGACAGAGAAATCAAAGGTGACAAAATATTAACTGAGTCAATTTTGCTGAAAGTTTTTTATTTTTTCCAAAATAAGAGTTGGGAGAAAATATATAAGTTAACTATTTCAATGTGGAAACCTATAAACAACCTTAAAATAGTTTCTGAACTAACCAAAATTATTTATGATTATTTTGGATAATACAAGAGACTACATACACAATGAAAATTCATCACAAATTTAAGTCTACCCATCTCCGCAGAGCTCAGAAGGTCCAAGGCTGGGGCTAGAAAAAGGCTGTGCTGGCTAGTGCCGCGGCTCAACAGGCTAATCCTCCGCCTGCGGCACCGGTACCCTGGGTTCTAGTCCCGGTCAGGGCGCCGGATTCTGTCCCGGTTGCTCCTCTTCCAGTCCAGCTCTCTGCTATGGCCCGGGAATGCAGTGGAGGATGGCCCAAGTCCTTGGGCCCTGCACCCACATGGGAGACCAGAAGCACCTGGCTCCTGGCTTCAGCGCGCGAGCTGTAGCGGCCATTGTGGGGTGAACCAACGGAAAAGGAAGACCTTTCTCTCTGTCTCTCTCACTGTCCTCCATGTCAAAAAAAAAAACAAAAAGAAAGAAAGAAAGAAAAAAGAAAAAGGCTGTGCTGGCCAACAGCCTCAGGAAAGAGACTCATATGGTGGCCCTGCCTCCTCGTGATGGCTGCTCCCAGCCAGAGCTCTGACTGCCTACACAGCTCTGCACTCAAAACAGGATCCTGACACCAAGCATTTGAGATGGTACCAAGTCGCGTGAAATTACAAACTGCTCTGCAGAAAACTAACACTTTACACCTGAAACGAAAACATGTTTTTAAAAACAAGCTAAATTTTTCAAATAAAAACTCCTATCATGACAGTGCTTTAATAAGATTTATTTTCTTCTATTATATAAATATAAATGCAAAGTCTCTCAGCTTCTGCTCAACCATAGACACACATCATCAAAACTGATCTTAAGATCTTTAGCATAAGGAAAAGATCAAGACAAGTATCATTTCAGTAAAACTGAACACAATGTTTCTTTTTCATGACTACTAAATTCTGATACTTGTAAATTATCATACCTGCAAGAAAATGAACAAAATAACCAGCATTCATCGACCTCATGGAGACTTCTAACATGGCCTTAGCCTTTCTTTATATACAGAGAGGTTTAAAAAAAAAAAAAAAAAACTAGTCTTGTCTGCTCTAACAAAATAGCTCAGATGGAAACAACAAAAGGACAAGCTACTATCACATCCAAGTGGCCTCACTAAACTAAAAAGAAAACACAAAGGAGAAACCAGAGGTTTAAATCTTATTATGTCAAAATTGGGAAAATATAAGCCATGCCCCATTCCAAAGATACACATACCCCCTCATTTATAGTAGGAGACATTACCCACTAAATCTGTAATGCTGATAGGCCAAGGTAACTGGCTTTTTTCTCACCCACGTTTCTATGTGGAAAGCAGTTGGCACTTCACAAAGTGCCAAAGCCAAGTTAGTAATTACTATCAAATACTATGAACACAGAGATTATTAGTGAGCAGTCCACAGGAACAAATGCATGGCAGCGTCCTCTAAATTACATTCAAACTTTTTTATGAATATATTTATCACTATTAATCGCCATTCCTAAGGACACACATTTGTTACATAACTTATTCTTCAATGAATTTAGAAACACATACACATCCAACTGCATAAACTGCAAAATACAATGTGCATCACCTATTTTTAGATTTGCAAGCCTCTTGTATTTTTCTTAAAAGTTAGTAAATCAATTTCTTTCCTAAAGTTGTATAGCTGAAAATTTTCTCTTTAAAAAAAAAGCAATAAATGTACACAATCTCATAAACTGTTATAAACACTAAGATGTATATAACATAAAAAGAGAATTCCTCAAACTTGATATCTTCTTCAAAGGAAGCTATTAAAGAATTCGGTGCTTTTCCTGATAGAATCTTTTCTAAGTACTTTCTACATACATGTACATATATAACATTTAGTTTGTTAATGGTACTTACTTTCTCCCCTTTTCCCTATTCTCGCCTGTTTTTATGCCAATTACTATTTAAAACATTAAAAGAAATAACCATACCTGTACACCAAGCACCAAAATAAGAAAAACTGAATGAGTTTTGACTGATTCTTTGATCAAATTTTAGTTTATAACCAAATTCTTAAGAACTCAACAACATAAAAAAAATCTAATATCCAGCATTAGATTCAGAGATACAAAATAATAGCATAAGAAACCTAAATAAAAGGCATTGTTTCAGGAAGTACTAAAACAACCTACATGATAATCATGTGCAGTTTCTAAAAATACAAACCTCACAGGTCTGGTGCTGCGGCATACTAGGTAAAGCTGCCACCTGCAACTCAGCATCCCATATGGGCGCACTGGTTCAAGTCCCGGTTGCTCCATTTCCAATCCAGCTCCCTGCCAATGGTCTGGGAAAGCAGCAGAAGATGGCCCAGGTGTTTGGACCCCTGCCACCCCTGTGGGAGACCAGGATGAAGCTCCTGGCTCTGGCCTAGCCCAGCCCTGGCTGTTGTGGCCATCCAAGGAGTGATCGAACGATGGACTCTCTCTCTACCTCTCTCTCTTTCAAATAAATAAAATCTTAAAACAAAAAAAATCATATAGAACTTAACCACAAATGCCTTTATTGACAAAACACAAACAAAAAAGCCCTGAAAGGACACACACAGCTCAGCCAAAGCACATTAGCAGTAGTACCTCCCCATGTACTTACTTAGGCCTTTGTAAGACATAGGTTAAAAGGAATGTCCGCAGGGACTCGATGCTACCTTTTTCCAAGAGAATCCACTCTCGGACCACTGCTTCCATGATGGCTGTAGCAGCTTGGAAAAGGACATAGTCCACTTTACTAGTTTCTGAGAAGAAAATCGAAAACTTTCTTTAAACAGAAATTCGCATTACTCCGAACATTTTGCATTTATTAATTTAAAACAGAACTTTGCAGACAAGGAATAAGATGGTTACCTGTGCTTTTTTTAATCCAGTGACCTTGCTCTAGCACCACAAAGAGGTTAGTTCCTCTCAGAAGACACCTCAGGCAGGTGGCAGCTAATCATCGATCACAATTTTCACAAACTTTCCTCACCTCTCTTCAACTGTTACTTCCAAAGCATGAAGAACTAAAAAATAACACAGCTTTAAAAAAAATAAAATAAAAATAGAAAGCAATCAGAAAACTGCCTAAGAGATTCTCACCCTGTGTAAAACAGAACTTTGATCTGAAAAAATCTTAATAAACTAGGTCTTTGAACATTACTATTTGTGATGAGCCATGCTGCTAAAATATTTGTTTTTAAGTAATCTGAGTACAGCAGGATGACCCATCTCCAATAGCAAGTTCACAAACAGATACAACTGATTTTTCTCAAAATGTAGAGTCACTTTTACACAAGGTGAGAAGTTCTTGTGAATTTTCTGATTGCAATACTGATCAAACTAAGTAAAATCCCAAAGCTACCTTAGAAAGACCCAGTCTTTGCAAGTTATAGTATCTGAACTAAAAAACTGAATCAGAGGGAAAAAATAGAAAATCAATGCAACTTAGACATATTTATATTAATTTTCTATTTTTTCTTCTATTCGCCAACAGCACTACAATTTCCAAACAGTCTTACCAAAAGGGAAAAACAGTCAAAATGAAGTCAAGAAAAAGTAGAAATTTTCTGAGGTTCTAAAAAACAATCATCATATGAAATCCATGGAAAGTCTATGATTAGACTTCAGATTATTTGTCAAGATCACTGGACATGAGCATCTGAAAGTCATGACGGTTAACTTTAGGTATAGAATGGCACCTTCAAGAATTTTATCAGAAGAACATGAAGATATAGGCAACAAGCACACTGCTTTCTGTCCTATTCAAGCTCAGCTCATTTAAAAAATCTTACAAGCAGTCTTGACACAATTAGCTATAAAAATGGGAGAAAAAAGGTGTACCCTACATAAATTTCTATCACATTAAACTACTATGTAGGAAGTTTCAACATACCAAAACAAGTAAGAGGAACCAATTTGGATCTTTATTTTAAAAAGTTTTAATTATTATTATAAGCTATCTTAATATGATTTTTTTATTCAGTGAATAGTATTTATACTTCTAGTTTCCTTTGAAGGGCAATGGTATTTTAACAAAAGAACGTCCCATCTGTATATTCTACAAATGCTTTTGATTGCAATTATTTATTGAGTGAACAGATGAGAAAAAGAAGCTGACCTGAATCATCAGCTTCTTAATGTGGCTTCTAATTAAGATGATAATCAGAATTCACAAAAACTTAGGAACCTTAAAATATTAAGAAATCATTAAAACAAAGGAATAGCTTCTAATAAGATATGTTTAAAGTTCTAGGAAGAAACAAAAAATAAGGGTTTTATTTGAAGAGGATTTGAAACAGAAACCAGCTATATCTATTTAGCTCACCTAAGGAGAAAGATGGTACTGTCTCATACAGGTACTTCAAAAAATCTCTCATTCATCTCTTCTTGAGGAAAAATGATGGCTGCTTGCCTGTCTTCGTTTTGTATTGCAATTTTAAGGGCCAGAATCTTGAAATCCTTAACTATGGATTTTAATAAGGAAGTAAAATCCAAGGCACTCGCAGAAATTTAGAAACAGAAGTCCAGAAACCATCCAATATAATTCCTTACTTTAGTTGAAGAAACTGATGCCCCAAGAGGTAAAGGAGAAATCTGAAGTCACACAGCTGGCAAAGATTCCCTGCTCAAGGCTACCCACTCCTTATCATGTATGTCATGAATACAGCCCAACAAGCACGTCTGACGCTGATGAGTGATGAGACGTGCTTATTTCCTACTATTTGTGCTTACAGCCGAGCCTTTGTCCTGCCTTTGGAGGGCATGAGGTAGGGGAGCAACTATGAAGATGAATGATTTTCAAGAGACAAAGAGGTCTCATAACTCCTTTCCTTAGATACCTCTGGATGGGATTAAATGAAGAAATTACTACTATCCCCATAAGGAGCTGTCTCTAGGAACAAAGGAATCGGAGAATAGTAAATTTAAAAGAAGGGATTTTCCTAAGCTACTTACATTTTCTCTCACACACTCAAAAACATTATTAGCCTTCATAAGCTGTACTTGTGCATAATATAAATATGCAAGGGATGCGGGAGCAAACTCTTGAAACCTATGATACGAGAGAAGAACTTCACATGTCCGTATGATCCTTATTCTAGCTCTTTGCTACAAAAGATGCTGGAAACTGCCAGGGCTTCATGAAGAAACTCACAGTTCATCTAGAGCTTCTGAATTAACTACTCTCAGCAAGATCTGCCACTTCCTATGACACTGCCCAGAGGATTATTTTAGGTCACTTTGGCAGAAAACTTTCATTTGCTACCACAGTAACTGCCTTTAATAATAATCATGTAAATGAAGTTCATGTGTATCTTACCAGCCGTCTGACACTACACAAGGCCATGCAGACGAACGTTAAAGAAGGAAAACACTCCATTCTGATCAAAAAAGTTTTAAGAAAATGAAGACACAGATGTTCAGCTACTACAATGACTTCTGTCCAAAGCACAGACAATGTAAGCTCCGAAGTCTGTTCTCTTAGACATTTATGATACCTATGCCAACACCAGCCAATAAGTCTCAGAGGGAAAAAGCTCAGATGGACAGCACTACTAAGGACACAGTTTTCCAAATGCAGAGAAGTCAAAGTTTACAAGTGTAAGGACATTTTTGCTGGCTTCATATTTCATTTTGTTTTGGCTACTTCTGAGATAAAACATGAACAAAATCTTCTCTCTGAGAGAAAGACAAAGGAACGCTACAGTTAGCTCAGAAGAGTAAAACAATCCCTCTTGGTTCTATTTATTTAACAAGGAGAGAGCTCACAGGTTTGCTGAAGAAACACCCAACCCTTCAAAAGCTACCAAATTCCTAAGTGCCAAAGACATCTGAGGTGACAGTCTAAGTTTTCTGACAAAATGCATAAGCATGGAACATGCATACAAACACACAGCACACACAAGCATGCACACACACTGAGCAAAAAACAAAAAAATAAAAACTAAAATGAAAACAAAAGGATAAGAGAGAGAAATGAGGAAAAACAAGGAACATATAAAACTGAAGCTTAGAAGTGAAAAGGAAGAATTTAAGAGGCTAGAAAAGGGAAGCATGAAAGAGAAAGTCTCCCCTTTATTTGAATATATTTCCCAGAAATTCTGTAAAATGACATAATCCCTAAAAAGAATGTGAAAATTCTGAATTGCGATTGACTGCCACTTGTATGAGAAGTCTTCTTAGAGGAATTTACCCTTGTGTGCTGGTGGCAACTGAGTAAGGAGTTAAAAGATTTTCTGTGAAGTTTAGATGTAAACATTAATGTAACACAGAGCTTTGCAGTACATTAATGATTATGTTTGTAATACATGCACTCCACCTTTTAAACAGTTAATGTTTCAAAACCCAAACTGATTTTAAAAGCACAGCCAGAACAAGCAATACTACTCTTTAGGAGATTTTACCCAGGCAAAAAAAGTATTCCAAAACAAGCTCAAATCTTAACAAAGCACTAGTACTTCATAAAATATATATATATTCTAGAAAAGAGCAGTATAAAAATATGCTCCAATAAAATACTCATAAGTTAAATCAACTACTTCCCAACTAGTTTAGAATGACAAGTGAATTACAGTAGGAGAGTCAGATGAAACACTGATGGAATCCTTGCCAATGCAGGTAAGCATATGCCATGAAAACCAGACTCAAATTGTTTCACGTTAATAGTTTTACACAGTGGTTTTCTAAATCTGTTAATACTGAACAATTTCAAGGCAATAAGGATGAGCTGATGTATCTCTACACTCTTTACACTAAGTTTTAGTTTTGCTTCTTTTAATTTAACATTTAAATAAATATTCTTCACAGGCATAAGATAGCAAGTTATCTTAGTGCCAGAAACAAATCCACCTAAGTAGGAAACTGATGACTCAAATAAATAAACATAAATGGCTTCAGTTGAAATTAAAAGGTAGTTGCTAAAACTGTTCTCACAGTGTGAGCTACCTCTTGAATGAGACAGATCCACCTTCACCACTGCTGCTAGCTCCTTGCAAACAGAACACTGCCCTTTTAAACTATTTTAAAATGCTATTTAAAATGAGGTAGTGTGGTTATGACATTTATCTTATTGTTCACACGGTGCCTTTACATATTATTATATTTTCACTGAAAACAACTTAAGCAAGCTATGTCCATTCAGGCAAGTGGTATCATTATTCCCACATTGTAGGTGAAAAAGAAGACAGCCCAGAGCGCTATGTGACTCCCTTGAGCTGACAATATGCAGCAGGCACCACAGGCAACTCCATCTACTACCAGTGCTCTTTCCACCACAGTATAACAACTCATGTTTATCAGCCCTAGATCTCAAGCATTTTTAACACATAACTTTGATTGTAGTTTATTTCAATCTGGAAACCAAACTACTGATGACTAATAGATAAGCTTAAAATCACAAGAATAAAAGGTCAGATGTTTTAGTTCCTAATACTCAACTAACCAATTTTGTGGTTGCAGATGACTCACAAAGCCTTTCAGAGCCTTAAATGTAAGTTACATAAAAGATGGCTCCAACTAGAAAAAACAGCTAACAGCAATCAGGCTATAAAATAACAAACCAATGATATCTCTCTTTCTACTATTGAAAAACATCTAAGAGGCAGATGGTAACGTCATACACACTCTTAGAAAATGCCATCTTTGAACAAGAGAACTGTGATTTTGTTACTGTTTTGAAGACATCAATTCTATCTGTACGTTACATATAAAGAACTCATACAACATATTTGACAAAAGTAACAATCATTGCCTTACTTGAGGATATTCAGTGACAATATACCCATAAGTGACTAACAATCACTAAGCATACTGAGTATAGACTAAATGGTATCTCAAACAAATAAAAACCTATGGAAAAAGAACTAAAAGAAAATATAGGAACCTACAAAATAATCTTAATTTCAAAACAATGGGATAAGAGATATTATAGTACATTTCTTATAATAAATTGTCATTTTTGAAAATTATCAGAAAACCCTGAGTTTTTTTTCTCCCCAGCATTAACAGCATTCATGTTATGTTAAAAAATAAAACAAATTATTGAACACTGTATCTGGGAGGGAAAAATTCAAAGTAAAAACAAAACTTCCTATCTGGCTTTAAGGAATATCTTTAAAGAGAATGCAGTTGAAATGATTATTAATGGGAAAATATAAATGTACTACACTGTTTTTTTTACAAAAGAATTTAAAAAGCTAATGTCTAAGATCCGATTGTGCCAAAATATTTTTAAAGGGAATACTTACCTAAAATATGCTTACAAACTGCAAACGGTGATTTTGATTTCCTAAATGACAAGAATATGTGTTCTGCATGCTGGCGCTGTTCATTACTGACCATAGATGGTGGTGCCTTGAGAGTTAAAAACAAAAACAGGGTTCACTTATTTCATGAGGAAGCTTGACTACAATAGCAACCCTTCTACCAGAGAGAATTCCCTGAAGGGAAATAAATTCTTGCTTAACTTCTTAAGGAAGTATAATACTCAATAAATATTTAAAATATGGTTTCAGGAAAAAGAAATTCTTGGCAAGGTTTGGGTCAGAATTCTTTAAAGTTGCCTGCATTTTAGAAAAATAGTTATCTAACATTTTCATAATTCTTAAAAACATAACTGGCCTATTATCATCTTTTATTTCAAAATAGACACTAGTCTAACTTGATCTAGTTCAAATAATTTCTAAACTATTTAGCACTGATGAAATTGGAACCAAGTTACTAAAAACCAATGTTATAAAGCTAATTATTCAGGACTGAAGATAAATTATTCCTACTCAGATTTCTACAGTCATCCATTAAATCAGTATGATTAGGAAGAGTTAAAGTTTTGATCACCATGGCTTAACAGGTGAAGCCACTGCCTACAATACCGGCAACCCATATGGGTGCCCAGTCCCCACTGCTCCACTTCCAATCCAGCTCCTTGATAATGGCCTGGGAAAAGCAATGAAAGATGGCACAAGTTCTTGGGCCCCTTCACCCATGTGGGAGACCTGGAAGAAGCTCCTGGCTCCTGGCTTCGACCTGGCCAAGACCTGGCCATTGTGGTCATGTAGGCAGTGAACAGAGGACAGAAGCTATTTCTCTTTCTCTCTCTCTCTCTCTCTCTCTCTCTCTATAACTCAGGCTTTCAAACAAATCTTTAAAAAAAAGTTTTGAATTTATGGATCTCCTCTCTGAATAATAATCAGTCCTAAATACCATATTTCCACCTAAAGTCTGTCCAGGTTTTTAAATTCCATTTTGGTGTAACAACCTTTCTTCTAAAGACAATATGCTTATGAACCAGAACTACCTAAAATATACACTGCTATTATATGGTCTGGTTATCTCTTGACCTACTAAGACCTATCTGAAGAGAAGGGGAAGCGATTGCTTACATAGCCTGTGAATTCTCAATTTGGGAAGGTAGAGATAGATCACGTAAGGAAAATATTTTCATCATGCTAACCATATAAATAGAGGGAATCATAATTCCAATTACATCAAATAACTGAAAGATGAAAACTTTGCAATCAGGGACAGTATATCATAAGTTGTATTAATTATGCCACATTAGTTACACTAATTTCAGTCAAAATATTTTTAAACATATGCACATACCCTAAAAACAAAGTACTGTGATACTGTGGCTTAATAGAAGTCTTATAATTGGCTAAAGCCAGTAAAGCCAGTTGGAACTACTATTTCTAATGATATAGCACCCTCTACAGTTCTCTAGACAAATATGAAAACATTTTCATTCAAGAACGTTTTGAAATTCTTATTATTAATATTCTATTCAGAGCTAAATTTTTAGTAGATTAGATTGTGTACACGAACATCAGAATGTCTTTTGGAACATTATTAGCTTTAGAAACAATTTTTGATTAGAGAATAGCCAGCATATTAATTTGTATAATTATTTTGCCTAACTATACATGTGTAGTGCTTTTTCAGGATGATGATGAGAAAGAACTGATGATTCAGAATTTCCTGAGTAATGTAGGGTGATCTCCATTTGTAACAGTAACATGAGAATAGTGTTTACTAACGAACTATGTACTTAGTAGCGGACAGTCAACAGAGACCTTAATGAGATGTCCTGTAAGGACACAAACTCATCTTAATGAACCAAGGAAATGGTGGGAATAAAGAATTTGCAAATGAAGACAAAAGATTTACTTGTAGATGTATTAGTTATTCATAATATGTTATTACCAAAGCCCTTTTTTAAAAAAAATTTATTCTTTAAACACTACTACTCATGTAATATTTGTTTTTATTTGGCAGGTAGAGTTATAGACAGTGAGAGAGAGAGACAGAGAGAAAGGTCTTCCTTCCATTGGTTCACTCCCCAAATGGCCGCTACGGCCAGCGCTGCGCCGATCCGAAGCCAAGAGCCTGGTCTCCCATGCGGGTGCAGAGCCCAAGCACTTGGGACATCCTCCACTGCCCTCCTGGGCCACAGCAGAGAGCTAGACTTGAAGAGGAGCAACCGGGACTAGAACCCGGCGCCCATATGGGATGCCGGCGCAGGATTAACCAAGTGAGCCATGGCGCCGGCCCCCTCATGTAATATTAATACAAACACATATCAACTTGATTACCCAATTTTGAATCATCAATTCTTTCTCCACATCCTTGAAAAGCATCATACATACAAAATGAGGTAATTATGATTGATACAAATTAATATGCTAGGCATTCTATAAACAAAAATTGTTTCTAGTGATAACCCAAAAGATACTGATATTCACATATACTTAATCTAATACACTAAAGATTCAGGTCTGAACATGCTAATAGAACAATATCCCATTTATAAAATATCAGATTTTATGAATGTATTGTCTAAAAGTTTATTATTATTATCTAAAAGATTATATACTACCATCTAGTTGAATATCATCATACAAGCAATAAGATAAAAATACACTGAACAGCAGATCATATTCACTTTAATTTCCTAAAACCAAAATTTTTAATTCCTCCTTGAGAATGACTTGGCAGTGGTTTCCAAATAACAAGTTATCTGCATCAGAAAAATCCAGAGAAACTTAAAAAAAATACTTTCAGTCCCCTTTTGTTGAGAGTCAAAACCAAAACTACACATTTTTCCACTAAAAGTCCCAGGGAGTAGTAACCAATGTAGACTCACCACCTATCAAGCTACTTACCCTTGAGAAATCTGAAATGTCAAAAATTCTGCTTCAGATTCTCCATCCTCTTCCCTTGGCATTTTCCCCACAGGCCTAGCATAACAGATGCCTCTCTCCTACACCCCTTATGCCAGTCTTTATTTGTACTTCCCTTTTTAATTATTTTTTTCTTTATTAGTTATCTCACACCAAAGACTAAATCCCTAAATTCCTAGAGCCTACCATTAAAAAAGGAAAAGCCATTTAAGGATAACAACATTTATTGAGTACTCAGCATTACAAGACATTATTTTAGATAAGATAAATATAATATTTGTGGGGAGGGAGAGAGAGAAGGGTATCTCATTCCTACCAGCAACCATATAATGAAGACATTATTACCATTATTCTTGTTCTATAGATGAGGAAACTGAAGCATGGAAAGAGGCCAATGTCGGACTATCAGTAGGAAGCAGCGCTCTCCTGGGTTCCAAATATTCACAGAAACTACATTTACATGGTTCAAATTTATGAAAGAAGACTCATCATTCTTCAGGCTTGCAGGTAGAAAGGAAGCAAATCTCCCCTAAAAATCTTCCTGTAATTCCCAATATCAGGGTGTTTTCCACAGCCTATAAAGCTTCAGGAAAGAAATAATAACAAAGAGGCCTTTTTTTGTGCCCTGTTTGTTTTCTCATTGTCACTAAGAGTAAAGCTATAAAGAGCTTCAGAGATGACATCAAATGAGTCAGGAAAATTGGAAGTAATGCCAAGTAGCAGTAGATACCAGTGATCAATGCCAGTAATCTTCAAGAAAATCAAGGCAAGGATAGGGGGCCACAGAGGCTTGTTTCTAGGGATCTATACTAGCAGAAGACCTGGAGAGCTCCCAGGTTCCAAACTGAACATACTGGTGACGCTGGCTCCAACCTTCATCATCCCACCGGAGAAAAACAGCAGTGGCTCAGAGCAGGGTGGGAGTTGGGGGTGGGAACCCTCAGTTGGAATTGTGGAGATTACTCACTGATGAACGGATTAAATAACAAATTTAATATCTATGAGCTTTTTCTTTTGGGTGGAGGGGGAAATGTATGAAAGAAAAACATGAATATATACCTAAATGGTTTCTATTCAAAAAAACATTTCTGAGAGCTGACTACATAGCAAACACCACACCAGAGCCAGAGACACCAAGGAAGGAAAATGGTCCTTGCCTTATAGAATTCTAGGAGAAAGACAGGCACTCACTACACACCACATAGATGACTATGAATTTGTACTCTGTCTCCACTGATGGATTCTGGATTTTTCTCCCAGCATGCTACTAAAGTTCTCCTCAGTAATGTCAGAATCCCATCTGTTAATTCCTAAGAGATCTGCAGATTCTTCCTTTCTCTGGGCAACAGTAAGAACTTTTATTACTGCGGCTGGCCTTGTGGCATAGTGGGTAAAGCCACTGTCTGTGACACCAGCAACCCATATGGGTGCCAGTTTGTGTCCTGGTTTCTCCACTTCCAATCCAACTCCCTGCTAATGTGCCTAGGAAAGCAGCGGAAGATGGCCCAAGTGCTTGGGCCCCTGCCACCCACATGGAAGACCCGTTAGAAGCTCCCAGCTCCTGGCTTCAGCCTGGCCCAGCCCAGGCCAGTAGGGCCATCTGGGGAGTGAATTAGCAGATGGAAGATCTATCTGTCTCTGCTTCTTATTCTCCATAACTCTACCTTTCAAATAAATCTATCTTTAAAATACATATATATGTGTGTATGAACTTTTATTACAGTTAACACAATATGACTACTATTAATTTGCCACGCAGAGTGCTAAATACTTTACATACATTGTTTCATGTAATCTCGGCAACATCCCTGTAGGACTTACCTTCTTTCTTTTACATCTGGAGAAACTGAGATCAGAAATTGTTACTGGGCCATCTGTGGGGTGCCAATAAAGCTACTGTCTGAAAAGCCTAAATCCCATATAGGTGCCGGTTTGAGTCCTGGTTGGTCTACTTCCAATCTAGCTCCCTGCTGATGCGCCTGGGAAAGCAGCAGAGGATGGCCCAAGTGCTTGGGCCCCTGCACCCACAAGGGAGAGCAAGGAAGCTTCTGGTTCCTGCCTTTGGCCTGGCCCAGCCCCAGCCATTGGGTCCATTTGGGTAATGAAACAGTGGATGGAAGCTTTCTCTCTATGTCTCTCCTCTCTCTCTCTCTATGTAAGCCTTTCAAATGAATA